CTAATTTGTGGCACTGCTCTTGGCACTTCAGGAATTAACGAGTGTGTTAAAATGGTGTCAACGTGAAGGTGGGTGTTCCTATCTCACTACACTTCCCTCTTCATCAATCAAACTCTTTATACCTGGGTTAAGTAGCTTTTGCAGAAATAAACTGGCTTGCTCCTGACAAGGAAGGCTTAGGCCCATGGACCAGTGTTTGTGACAATGTTTTCCCCTTGAAACCCTTGTTGAGGGGTTTAAGTTTTGGTTTAGGGTTTCCCTTTCAGCTACCCCAGTTTTTAGATGGAAAGCTATTCCCTATAGTTTTTCAATTTTGGGCAACTTTAGAGGCTCGTTGTTTTAAGGCCCTTAATTTCCCCAGGTAAAGTCCCCAGGGGACAGGGGAAGGGGTTCTCCTCTATGGAAAACGAACCCGGGGCCCCTATTGAGGGAATCTTCACCAGTTGGTTGGGGAAAATTTTGAAATTGGTGTGAGGCTTTTTAAAGGGGTTACATTTGTGTGGTTCTGAGGGGATTGGGGGTTATTTAAACAATGGCCCATGGGTTTTATACACCCCACTGGTGGGGTGGAAGGATGGGGGGGGGGGATAAGGGGTGGGTTTTTGTGTAAAAAATGGGAACCACTAAAGTTTAGTCCCCTTTTGGTTCCGGGGAAGGATGGGGGGGGGTTAAGGTGAGGGTTTAAAAAACTCCCTAGGGTGTTCAGTCCCAATTCTGGGGAAAGGATGGGGGGGGGGGAGGGAAAGGGTTTGAGGGTAGTGTAAAAAACTGGAACCACTAGAGAGTGTATACAGTCCCACATGGTGTGGCTGGGAAGGATTGGGGGGGATGTTAGGTGAGGGTAGTGTAACACATGCAAATGTTAGGTTGGTGCTGTCTTAGTACTCCCCGGGGACAACTCCTCAGGGCGGTCCGCTCTACACTAAACTGGAATGGGAATGCTAATGTACTTTTCTTCCTCTTATTCTCCTGGTGTCGTGGCCATCTCTCTCACTGCTAGGCCCCTCCTACGCGTCGCGCTGACAGGGTAGAGTTTATTTGAGCGCCATCCTGAACATCTTTGATGGCTTTGTGATGCCATAACTCTCAATATGTATGTAAAGATCTCGGCGGTTCCTGCCACGTTGGCTTTACGGCCACTAAAACTAGTTCCTCGATCGGTATGGTGTCGGAGCGAGTGTGCTGGCTCGCAAGACGGAGATATAACGGTGGGGCTACGACGACGTCTGGTATTCTCTCCCTTGTTTTTGGTAGAAATCGACCCTCCCAGTGTTTCTCCTTTTCCCCTAGCGAAATAGGTACCTCGGAGTTAGTCGACTTTTATTGGGGGCATTTAGGGGGAGGGAAACCCAAAAGGCCCCAAATGAAATAAGGCGCGGCGAACACTATGACTTTTTTGGGATCATTTGGGGATAATAACTTACGGGGTTAATAGTTGAAAGAAAGTCTAATTTCCTCAGATGGTGGTGTGGGGCTTGGCGGGCAGGAAACCTTGAAAAGCTCCTAAATAATTTTCCCCAAATTGCTTTATGGGAAGTTCAGGGGTTTGTGTGTGTGTTGTCAGGGGGACGGGGGGGGGGCGCCAGATTCGTCCGGGGGCGGTCTTTTTAAAAACGTTTTGTGCGGTTTTATGCGGCTTTTATGGTTTTATTCTTAGGTTTATGTGGCGGTTTAACGTTTTAGCTGCGTAGCGAGGGGCGGGGGCAGTTGTGTAAAGTAATGGCCAGCATAAAATTTTTACAGTCTCCTTTACGGCCTACACCCGCGGGCAAATGTGGTAGGGGGTGGGCGGTGGGGGCGGGCGTGGGCGGCGGATCGGGGGATTTGGGTGATAGCGGGTAGGGGGGGGTTGAGGTAACTGGGTGGGGGGTGGAGCAAGCTTAGGTTGGGTTGGGGCAGGCTGGGGTTTGGGGGTTTGGGGTAAACTTGGGGGTGGGGGTAGGAAAATTTTTTTTTTTTTTTTGGGCACATTGGGGAGGTTTTTTGGTTGGCAGAAGTTGGGAAAGTGGGGGGAAAAAGGGTTTGGGGTTTTGGGGGTTGGTTGAGGGTAGAGATAGAATCTAGGAATCACTGTAGGGGGCTGTGAAACTTGTGGGATACATGTTGATTTAAGTTTCCGAGAGTATAACTATTTTATGTTCATTTAAGAACTAGACACTCTAAAGGCTTTTCCCAAACCGAATTTCCAACCTAGTCTCCCCTGGAAAAACGTAAAGAAAGTTTCATGCCGGGTAAATTAAATCAAGCACAAAAATTGCCCGGAAGATTAAAGCCCATTGTTTTTCGCGATTTAAATCTACAAGGAAAAACTTCATAAGGTAGACTACAAAAAAAATCGAATAAAGAGTAGGACACAATGAATACACAAAGTGTGAAGGGACCAAGGCTTTTTAACCAAACCTTGAAAAAACCCTGTGTGAAAAAAATTCCCTTTATGCATGAGGGGAATTCCCCCTATGCGTGCCCCTGGCTTTAAACAGCCTGTTTGATGGGGCCACACCAATTGATCTGGTATCTAGCTGCAGGGGCGAGAAACTCTTCCCTGGCTCGAAAAAAAGGTAAACAACAGGTAAATCTGCTGTTCTTTGGCAGCTTCACTTGAGGACTTCACCCATATCGGAAAACTTCTTGTGGGAAAAAGGGGGGGGGGGGTTATGAGTAAATACCGGTGCTATCACATCCTGGGTGATCTGTCACAGCCGACGAGAATCTCAAGTGTTTTCTCGAAGATTGAAACATCCATCCAGCAATATTTCGTATTCTTTATTGGTGAAGGGTTTGCAGTGTTTCTTATTCAGGTGGAACGCGCTTTCTCATTGCCCTTAACGCACTTTTATTTTCCAGTAGGATTTTTTTTTGACCCGTTTCTTTATACAGTACGTTATTTCTTTATAGTCCTTGGTTCCATTCGGGGGGGAAACGAGAATATGGGCGGGTTTTCCCCTACATTTGCTGCTCCTGTTTTTTTTAGCCAAACATGTACCTAGGTGTTAGTTGTTGTGGGTCACACCTCATGGGGGGGTATATCAGATAGAGGTGCGCTCTCAAGGGCTGAAATCGAAAAGAATTCCTAATAAAGAGATGTGTAAAAAAAAAATAGCGTCCCCATTGTTTGTCTTGTCTCCGAAAAATTAGTGTTTGAATTTTTGGTACTAAGAGGGTTGTTTTTTATTTGAAAAAAAAAAAAAAAAGTTCATTCAGTCATTATATGTATTTTTTTTTTTTTTTTTTTTTATTTGTTTCGGTAGTAGAGTTAACTTTTTGAGTTCCTTTGGTTAATTTTTCATAATGAACTTTGAATCTTTTAGTATTCAGTGCTCTTGCTATTTCTTTTCCCAAGAAAGTGATTTTCCTTCGCAATTTAAAATTCTGGCCCTCAGATTGCTGGTACAAACAATTTTGCGGCCCCTTGAACGTCTTTAAGGAAAACATTTTCCCGAGTTGCAATCCCTCAGCAATTTTTTTTTTTTTAATTTTTCTGGGGATCTGTTTTGTTGCATGTTATTATTATTTGTGTGTTTTATTTCTGAAACTATAGCCACATTCAGGTTTATGTTAAAAAATAGTCAAAATGTTCTTGAGTATTTCCCAATCGATATACTGTTTTTATTGAGATTTGTGTTTTTGGGAGGGGAAAGTTGTTTTACGGGCCCCTTACGTTTTCTTCATGAACCCTTAAATCTGGTTCCCAAGAATGGATGAGTGGATGTGGCTGCTGTTTTCTTTCCACTCTCAAGACTTTGATTCCGTTATGAGTCGTCTGCAGGTGACCCAAATGCAGCTAGAGTGACAAAGAACAGACATTACTGGGTTTTTAGCCCCTTAAACTCTTCATCCCCTCTGAAAAATGTTTGGGTTCTTCCATTTCTTTCACTTCAGTAATCCCACTTCTCTCCCCCCCTGAGTGAAAAAATCCGTGACCCCTGTGACTCGTCTGTGTTTTTAGCTCCTTTGTGTAATTTTTATGGTGTTGTATTTTTTGAAAGTTTTTTTTTTGGCCACCTTTTTCCCCCGATTGGTTTTGACATGAGTACTTAGTAATCATGTCAAATCAGGGTTTTTTAAATTATTTAATCCTCCCAATTCACATTAAACCACTCCAGCCCTGGGATGGGTCTGATTGCAAAACTTTCTACCAATTTCAATATATATTTGTGTGAAGATTTAATGCATAACCGGTGTTAGTGTTTGGAATGGACTTATTTGGTACTTAAGAGACATCGATCAGTACCTTCGAAGATGTATGTTTTATTTTGTTTTGGTGTGGGAGAAGGGGAAGATAATAGTCAAAGGTGAAGGTCACAAAAGGGTCAGAGGTCGTACTTGCTCTCTGTCTGAATCTTAATCTTGTAGTAACAAGTGTTGTGATTGTTGATGGCGGCGGCGCTAGCGGTGAAGGCGTTGTTTTCGTCGTTATTGTTGCTGCTGTTTGGGGCGATAGAGAGAGGTCTGGTGGTGGGAAGGGTTGGGGGCAGTGCAGTGGTTTGATGGGAGATAGAGGGTGTGGCGGGGGTGAGAGGATGTGGGGGGATGACATCAGAAGCGTAACCTTAAAGGATGGGCCGTGGTCTAATCTGGAAAATTTTTCGGCCTAAGTCAGGCAAGTTATGCCCTTTGTCGGAAGGCTTAGGTTGTCTCTTTTCTCTCTCTCCTTTGGGTTTTAATTTGGGATAGACAAGACACGTTGTTTTATTACGTTATTTGTGTTAAATTCTGCCTTTTCTCTTAGCAGTTTTAAGCTATATTTTTAGGTTTACACTACGTTTTAATGACAAAAAGTACATGCTTCTTCGTTGTAAATTATACAGTGGTGCATTACATAATCACCTTATGTACATCATGACAGGAAGCATTGTTAAGAGTTGATTGAATTTTCTGTACGACATTACGGTCTTGTACACTTATTTTGCTCTTCCGTTACTGGTAATTTCCTTTTTAAAATTTACTGTGTTGATCATTCAGTATGATTAGTTATTTATATTTTCTTTCTTGTGTTGCAGGTGTCGGATGCTGAGTCTGACCTTTTCAGAGCAACCAGCAAAGGTGAGTCAAAATTGCCCTACCCCCCTAGTTTTTTTTTTTTTAAACCCCCCTTTAAAATTTTCAAGGGAAAAGCTCTTTTCTTGTTTCACTCTTTACAGATTTGTTATCGTAGTTAAATCATTTAAGGTTGTGAGCTGTTATCCTACCCCGTTATTTACAGGTAAAACTGTTAGCTTATTCGTATTTGCATGATAAAACCCCGTTAGCTACCCTTGCCCACTTCCCGGGTTTAGCTATTAAACTGTCTCGGCTCATTTCCAAACCCCAGCCCTATCTCAGGTAGAGTGGCAAGAATGTTATCATTTTTGTTTATTCTGACAAATAGGTTAAGAAACATGCTTTTTGTGGTATTTTTTTTTTTTTTTTAGAAAAGTTTTGTACCGGGAGATTCCCCGGGAACAACTTTTCCTCATTCCATAAACCGATATACCTTACACAGGTGGTAAGTTTAAGTACCTCATTTACACTTGTCTTTTGGTTTACATCGAAGAGAAAAGAAAAAACTGTGCCTTTAAAAAAGGCGGAGTGAGGGATATGGGAGTGGGGTGTAAATAAAACCCAGCAAAAATGGGGCACTGTGGCACAGAAAGAAAAAAATTGCATCAACAAACCCTGGGGCTGTTTAACACTCGCAAGAAGTCAGAAACAGTGCCGGCAAGTGGGAAGATTGGAGGAAAATTGGCTTGTACCTCCGCCAAGTGCCAGATCATCCGGTTACTTGGAGGTTATTCCGGGATCAACGCCCCCCCGGCCGGGCAGACCAGGCCCCCGTGGATCAGGGGGCCCTTTTCAACTGGCTGTTATGCTGGCCGCACGCGTCCAAACGTACGGCCCCAGCCCCGGTGATCCCGGACTGACTTTAGGTAAATTTTAGCTTTCAAAAAAGGAGAAACCCCGGTTTTTCAATTTTCCCTTTTTTTAGGCTGGAAACCGTCTTCACCCACAAACAGGTGTCCCTTAAAATGTACAGGTCCTTTATGCCCGTTAATTCTGCAAACACCTTTAACTATGGGAGTTGGGAACCTTCTTTAATTTCCAAGGAGGGGGAAGATATTTCTTATCCTTGGAAAATCTTAAGGGGTTCCCCAAATCTGAACAGAATATCCCCCAGAAAGAAAAAAGCTGGACATGCAAAAAGGATAAAAAAAAGGGGGGATTGGTACAAAAAGAAAAAAAAAGGTCCGGGGCCCAAAAATGTTAACATCCCTCATTTTTGGGGAATTGCAATTGGTCCTTAAGGAGACTGGGCAATACCTAAGTCAGGGGCCGGATCAGGGGCTGTGGCTCTCGTTGGGGAAATGGTCCCCATAAACCTAGTTTACCGTTCCATGGAAACTGGTTTTTTGGAGGGCCCCGGGGCTTGATCCCCGGAATAACCTCCAGGTAAGCTCTCTCTTGAAGGCAGCCAGGGGCTTATTGACAATTCCCCTAATGCTTATGGGAGGCTGTTGAATAGTTTTGGGCCCCGGACACTTAGGGTGTTTCTCTTAGTGTACCAATGGCGCCCCTACTTTTTTTTGGGGCATTTTGCATCGCCTGCCCAGTCTTTTACTTTCGTGGGGAGTGATTTCTGTGTCCCAGTTTTTGGGACCATTTCTTCCAAGATTTTCCAAGTGTAGATTATGATACCCTCTATCCCTCCTGCGTTCCAACGAGTACAAGTCAAGTGCTTCCAAGCGTTCCCAGTAGTTAAGGTGCTTGACAGAACTTATCCGTGCATAAAGGATCTCTGTACACTCTCTAGATCTGCGTTTTCACCTGCTTTGAATGGAGATGTTAATGTACAGCATTTATTCCAGCCTAGAGAGAACAAGTGATTTGAAAAGGATCATCTTTTGGCTTGGCATCTCTCGTTTGAAATTTTCTCATTACCATCCTATCATTTTCTTTGCACGTGCGATCGTGGCACTGTTGTGATCCTTGAAAGTGAGATCCTCAGACATTACTACTCCCAGGTCCCTTACATTATTTTTCCGCTCTATTGTATGGCCGGGGGAGTTCAGTAGTTTTACTCTGTTCTAGTTATTATCTCCTCCAATTTCCATAACGGAGTAGTTGGAATTTCTCCTCATTAAACTTTCATACTTTTTACCGTTGCCCACTGGAAAACTTTGTTTATATCTTCTTGGAGTTAACCACGTCCTCAGCAGATGACAGCCTCATGCAGATCCTAGTATCTTTCCGCAAAGGATGAACGGTGCTGTGGTGTATATCTTTGTCTATGTCTGATATGAGGATAAAGAATAAGATGGGGCAATTTACTGTGCCTTGGGGAAAACAGAGCTCTTCACTATGGCAGCTTTCGATTTAACTTGTTGCCCACTACTCTTTGTGTTCGATTGTTGGGAAGTTGAAGATCCATCCCCCCACTTTCCCATTTATTCCTTTAGCACGTATTTTATGGGCTATTACGCCATAAATCGCATTTGTAAAATGCTTTTGCAAAGTCTGTGTATTTTAAAATCTGCATTCTGATTTCTTCCAGTGCACCCAAAGGGCCATGCATAGTAAATCCAGTAGTTGTGAGAAGGCAGAGCGACCTGCCCTAAACCCCATGTTGCCCGGGATTGTGAAGGGATTTTGGGAATCCGGGTTTGATTTGCAATCCTGCTTCTTAGCACTCTTTCAAAGATTTTATGATGTGGGACGTCAGAGCTATTGGTCTATAGTTCTTAGCTAATGCTTTGCTGCCACCTTTATGGAGTGGGGCTATATGCTTGTTTTAAGTGACTGGAATTTCACCCATGTCCAAGCTCCTCCCCATAATGTACTTGGGGGCACGCGAGAGGGGTTTCTTGCAGTCTTAATGAAAACAGAGTTCCACGAGTCGGGGCCCGGGGCTGAGTGCTTAGGCATGTTGTCAATGGCTTTTTCGAAATCTATCGGAGTTAGGGTAATTTCGGAAATCTGGCAAAACATTATGGAGTTTTGAGGCTCATTCATGAAGAAATCATTTGGGGTCGTCGTTTCCTCAACCTATTAGTGGTTCACTAAACACAGGGGTCGTACTGGGATTTCAATATTTCACTCATTTCCTTGTTGTCATCTGTGTAAGTCCCATCGTCTGAGTAGGGCCCGATACTAGATGTGGTATTGCCTTGTTTTTGGCATATGAAAAGAATATTTTGAATTTCTTTCAATTTCACTAATAGCTTTAAGCTCCCCCTGCCTCTCCTGGTTCTTGTAAGAGTCATTTAACTTAAGTTCGAAAAGTTTCCACTTCCCTGGTCAGCACCTCCTTTCGTGTATCAATATTCTAGCACTCCTGAGGAGCTCAGTGACTCTTCGTCGTCTTCTGTAAGGGAGCGTCTTTCTCCAGTTTACTCCTGCTCTTCTTTCTTAGGGAATATGCCTAGAACATGCTTCGGCTGCCAGGAAGTTGATCCTTTCAAGGCACGGGTTTTTGGATCCATGTCATTTAAGACATTTTCCCCAACATGTTTCGTATAGGACAGGGTTTACCTGGTCCCATTGATGTTCTTGTTGTTAAAGTTGTATTTTGTGAAGACACCTTCACAGGTACATGCATTCTGCTGATCAGGACCCCTATGCATGTACGTCTGGACTTCGTTATTAGGTTGTGATCGGAATTAGTTGGTTTTGATATTTTATGTCTTTTTATCAGGTCTCATTATTTGTGAAGATAAGGTCAAGTGTGTTTTCTAGTCTTGTTGCTACACAAATCTGTGGCTTAAGGTGTGTTTTCGCAGAGACTTAGTAGTCATGTGTGTGTGACCTTTCATCTGCGGCTACCTCCGGGATTGTTTCAGCTATAACATTATTTGCTACATTCTTTCCATTTTGTAATGCTTAGGTTGAAATCCCAAGCAGTAAGATGTTTGGGGTGGAGCTGGAAGGGCTTCCAAACAGTAATCAATTTTCAGTAGCTGTTCCTTGAATTGTTTGAGGTTGCATCTGGTGGCTTTTTATACAAACCACAATGACTAGATTTTGGTTCTCGATCTTTATTGATAGAACTTCAACTACCTATTTGTGGTGTTCAGCAACTCCCGTGCAGATAAGGGACTCTTTTTGACATACAGGCCAACCCCCCCTTGTTGCCTGTTTTTTCTGTCGCATCTGAAAAGGTTGTAACCACTTATCCATATTTCACTGTCAAAGTGATCTTTTGTGTGAGTCTCTGTGAAGGCTGCAAACATTGCATTAGACTCCTCTAGAAGTCCACTGATAAAAGGTATTTTGTTGTTGGTGGATGGCTTAAGGCCCTGTATATTAGCAAATATGAACGAGGTTGTATTCTGTGTTTGTTGGGGGGATTTTGTTATTGGCATCAGTAGTTGTAATTCTGGAGGGCCATGGTGGCCACATGGCTGCGCCTCCAGTCCAACAAGGCTCCAAGGTGGTGGACTATTTTTATTTCCTTCCATTTTCTTTTTCCGTTTCCTGCCACTAAAAAATCACCTGGAGTTGGGTTGTCGTAGCTACTATTGTTTGTCTTGTGGGGTCTGTGCCTCCTGGTCCCTTTTAGATGGTATGCAGGGCAGTCGATGTTGTAACACTGCTTCTGGAGGTGTTCCAGCGAGCAGTAACAGCCTGGTTGATCAGGCAAGCAGCAGACAGGCCTGACCCAGGCCCGGGCTACGGGGGTAGGGAAACTCTCAGAAGCATTTCAATGTATATCAAAGGTGTTGGTGAAGGATTCTTAGTTCAAGAGGAGAGAGGACAACTGCAGTTTTCGAGATGCCTTGATGATAGTGAAGGACTCTTAGTCCAAGGAATTGGATCTACCCACCCATTCCTTGAATGCAACCAGTTACCTCCCATTCCTTGAATGCAACCAGTTACCTTCCATTCCTTGAATGCAACCAGTTATCTCCCATTCCTTGAATGCAACCAGTTACCTCCCATTCCTGTAATGCAACCAGTTATCTTCCATTCCTGTAATGCAACCAGTTATCTTCCATTCCTTGAATGCAACCAGTTACCTCCTATTCCTTGAATGCAACCAGTTACCTCCCATTCCTTGAATGCAACCAGTT